TAAGATAATTATACTGCTAATTTCTACTGATTTATTGAAAGGAACACTTAGTGCTTAATTTTTGATCAATTTTGCATGCCTATACCTGGTAATCTGAGCAACCACTTTGAAGATAATAATACACAATATAACAACCACTGTTGATTGCCTATCATTTTGGATTGTAATTCTGTATCATTCTAAACATTTTTTATTATTTTTTGGTTTCTTTAAAATAATTTAATAATAAATGGGAACAAGTTAAAACTTTTCTCTAAGATCCAGAGAAACACAAGGATGACCGCTTTCACTGCTTTCAGTCACCACAGAGTTCGAAGTTCTAGCCAGAGCAACCGGACTAGATGAGGAAACAAAGGCTCAACCAAAATGTCACTAGTAGCAGATACATGCTGTTAATACATAGAAATTACTCAAAAACTCTACCAGATAACCTTTAGGACTCATACATGAATTTAGGAAACCTATGATACTAAGTCAAATTTTTTGGCTTTTTTTTTTTTTTTTTTTTTTTTTTTTTTTTTTTTTTTTTTGTGGAACCAGGAATTGAGCTCAGGCCCTTGCGCTTGCTAGGGAAGCGCTTATTCCACTGAGCCATCTCCCCAGCCCCGCTAACTCAAATATTAAAATCAGTGCCGTACTCACTTCAGCAGCACTTATACTAAAATTGGAACAATACAGAGAAGATTATCATGGCCCCTGGGCAGGCATGACACACAAATTCATGGAACAGTCCATGCTTTTGTTTAGACAAGATATCGTATCTGCATCTTATACTATAAATAACTACTATGAAGACAACAATATACAATGTATTTTTATTGTAACTGTCCTACTAACTTGTTTTGAAACTGTCTCAATGTTATTTCTTTCTCATTAAAATTAATTTAAAAAACAAAAAAAAATTTAAAAGTCAGTGCCATTGCTATACGCTTGTAGAAAATTATCAGAAATTGAAAAATCATGAAAATTGTCACATTTATAAAAACTTTTTCTAAAATGTAGGAGGAAATTTAACCAAAGACGTAAAAATCTCTACAATTAAGTGATATAACATTGATGGAAAAATTGAAGAGGACAAAAACAAAGGAAGAAAGATATCACATATACACAAATTGAAAGCATACTTTTAAACACCCATAAAAATCCATATTAGAGGAACAGCTAAATAGCTTAGTAGATTAAATGGCCTGCAAGCAGGCACTTGGGCTGGGGTTTGATCCCCTGGCCTGCCGTGCTGGCCCCACCCCCAGGGCATGCTGAGAAGACAATTGAGACTGGGCATGGTGCGCGCACCTGTAATTCTAGTTCTTGGAAGGCTGTGAACAGGCAGTTCACAGAGTCTGATCTAGTAGTGAGACCCTGAATACCCTGTAGACCCTTCCCTAAAGTACAAAAAAAATCCATATTAGTTTATAGAGTCAGTTTAATCCCTATCAAAATACTAACAACATTGTTCCCAGAATGAGAAGGAAAGTGTTATGCAATTAGGGTGTGTTGTGCCTTGTGCCCTGGAAAGTCTCATGCAGTCACAGGTGGAGCTCTTCAAGGGGATGGAGGATAGGATCAAGGATGTAATGCTGGGATTGTTTCTTGGTGCTATGCTAAGATTAAGGCTGCCTCTCCCTGGGTGAGAGGGCTACCCACGCTAAAGGGAGGAGTAGCTGGGGTAAGATATAATGGACAGAAAGATGGCCTCTGCTTGTCACTTTTCACTTAATGCTTGCTGCCTTTTCTCTTCACTACTTTGCTGCCTTTGTCTACCATATACTATTTCTCTGTGACACCACTCTGCCTTGGAGCCAGCCAACTATGAACTGAAGACCTCCACAAATTGTAAGCCACCCAAACCTTCTTCCTTTCACTTTGGGTGGCGGCTGCTTTGTCTGAGCAATGACAAAAGTAACTAAGATAGCATGGAACCACCAAAAGTGAACAAATGAAACACACAAATAATCTGTGAATAAACAAAGCCATCTCGAGCAAAAGAACAAGGTACTACACTCCCTGACTTCAACACATTACAAAGTTATAGTAATCAAGCAACATAATGTCAGTGTACAAACAGGCTGGTAGATCAAGATAACTTAGTATAAAAGCTTATAGTAAATGTGTGCATCTACAACCAATTTATTCTTGAACAGCAATTTAAAAAACCAGTAACATGAATTGGATAATCCTGTCTGTAAAGCTTCTTCACAGGAAAAGAAGCAAGTCATAAAAGTACAGAGAAAACCTAAAATATGTGAGAAGTTATTTACAAGCTATACATTACAGTTGATATCCAGGATAAATAAGGAACCTCAAAAACTCTATTGGAAGAATCACTTAAATAACTGAATTTTTAAAAGGGCACTAAATGTAATTAAATATTACCCAAAAGAAAATATAGAGAGTTTCCTGCTACCCTGCGCTGGCGGGACCAGTCCCAGCCCAGGTGCAGCGTGGGCCGGACCCTCTCCTAGCCCCTCGGGCCCCCCCCCACCACTCCGCAGTGCCTCCCCCACCCC